CGTGTGACTTAGGCAAAATTAAGGCATCCCACTGGACTATCAATTCAAAAATTAGTTCAGGCAAAAATTAGGGAAAATAAAAATTGCAAAGAAAGGACTACAAAGAAAAGTCCTCAGTAAAGAACAAATTGGTGACTACAAACACGAAGACATGAGGGTGGTTTCTACTCCGAAAGCCTCGTCGTTTCCTTGACCGTCACAAAATCCTTTTGAGAGATGAAAACTCATGTTGAATTAACTGAACATAGGGTCGGAGAACATCATGAAGAATGGGTGGGCACCAAATATTTTGAGCCTTAAAATCTTTTTTCTAAAAAAACCATGAACCAGACCACGTTACAACCTTCAAAAGTCCTAATTGAAGCAAGGTCATTTTGAAAGCATACTTCAATGAGATAGTGTTCCTGACTCCCATGAATATTCTAAATAGTTGTGTTGGTATCATATGTTTTTCCTATACAAAAATAAATGATGCTCTAACTCGCAAAATATGTGCGATATCTTTCAAAATCTTCAAGACTTACATAACTGTTGCATTAGAATTTTCATTCTCATTGTAAACTTTTTCTAACTGCAAAACATTTGTTTGATATCAAGGAAGCTCATATAAGCACCAGTGATGAGTTTATTCTTTTAAGGCCTGAAACTATGTTGAGTAATTGATGGATCACGTCAAGAAAAAATCATATCCATGAGCATGTCACCTGAAGACCGTAAGCACGAACATGTTACTTCTCCCAGTTAATGCTTTCCCAACTTGTTTCCTCTTTTGGGGCAAAAATTTGAAGACTTCGTTGTGCCAACTACAGTCAATCTGGGGCAATCACATCGAGATTTATTGAATCTCTCTAAGAGTTTGAAGACACCAGAGCATGGTGAATGCCAGGTATTTTGTAAAATCCTCTTGAGACGATTTCTCCTCATCAACCAGATAGCTTGGGGCATGTTAGAAGTGAAGCTATTCGCAAGAATTGTCGTGCAACATGCAGCTCATCAGCAGTAAACTTGGGGCATCCAAAATTGGTCCCAGGGGCAATCTAGATTTGTCAAGATATGTGATATGTATTGCACACATTATCAGAGGGTGGTGTTCCCAGTATCTCCATCTAAGCAAGACTTCTTTCCAGCTGAAATTTTGTTCGTGTTGTTATCCTTTCAATGGATTGTTTGCAATAGAAGACTGGACTTTGGGTTTTCTACCGAAAATACTTTCCTCTCCAGAGAGATTTAAGCCTTGTAAAAGGACTTTGCTCCAATGATGGCTTTTGTTTTCTATCTCCAGTAATGTTACCATCCTGTTGAGATTAGCCGAGTGTCGAGTTGTACTGTGATGTCTTATCATTTTCTGTCCATCTCCCCTGTCTGTTTTGTCAGCATATACATGACATTCATTTATTCATTCACACTTGCATCATGCATGCACAGTTGTATTTGTTGATGTCTTTGAGTACGTATACCTTGGTTATGTCTATTCAAATAGCGCATTTGATCTTTCCAAATAGAATGTCAACTTAAGCAGAAAGTGCGCCTCCTTTCTAATTCCCCACTGAGTTAACTCTCGTGGAAGAATCTTGTTTCAGCTTTCCTTTTCCATCTCTGGATAGGATAAATCCCCATTTGAGTTGTTTCCTCATTGGATGGAGTCTTGTTTGACTGTTTTCTCTCCAGTTTATTCCTGGATTGAGCTTTGTCTCTTGTGAACGATACCCTGTGGATCTCTCTAGGCTGTGAAACCTAGATGGAAAGTGCATTTATTTCGCAATTTAAATACTTGGTCTCCTCAAGAAGGATTTATTCATGGTTCCCCATTGAAGATGAACTTTATTCCCCAGCAGTGTTATCACAACCTTTTTCTGGAATATTGACATGACAACAAGCGACTGACTCTTTATTTGAGCAGTTTGATTATTTCTGATTTCTCTACGACAAATGGCGGTCTCTTCATGAGCAGTTTGTCCATCCTCGATGAAATTATTGGCTCTCACCTCCAGCAATATCTTCATGATATTTTATGGGTATCTTTTCGGGAAACAGCAAGCGACAATCTCTTCATGAGGCAACTTGTGTGTTATGGATACTCTTGACAAACAGCAAGCGGCGGTCTCTTCACGAGGCAACTTGTATATTATTGACACCTCGAAAAACGGCAAGTGGCAGTCCTTTCATGGGTAGCTTGTACGTTATATTTTTCTTTTGAAAACGGCAAGTGGCGGTCTCTTCATGAGCAGCTTGTACGGAAAACGGAAAGCGGCGGTCTCTTCATGAGAAACTTGTATGTTATTGTTATCTTTTTGGGAAACAGCAAGCGGCAGTCTCTTCATGAGGCAACTTGTGTGTTATGGATACTCTTAACAAACAGCAAGCGGCAGTCTCTTCATGAGGCAACTTGTGTGTTATGGATACTCTTGGCAAACAGCAAGCGGCAGTCTCTTCATGAGGCAACTTGTGTGTTATGGATACTCTTGACAGACGACAAGTGGCAGCTTCTTCATGAGCAGCTTGTACGTTAGTATTTTGGAAGACAGCAAGTGGCAGCTTATCTATTTGAGCAACTTGTGTGTTATTGTTCCCTTGAAAACGGCAAGTGGCAGCTCTTTTTGAGCAACTTGTGGGTTATTGGCAACAAGTGGCAGACTCTTCATGAGTAGCTTGTGTGCTTTGATATTCTTTGAAGACAGCAAGTGGCAGCTTCTTTATGAGCAGCTTGTGGGTTTTTGGCAACAAGTGGCGGACTCTTCATGAGCAGCTTGTGTGCTTTAATATTCTTTGAAGACAGCAAGAGGCGGTCTCTTCATAAGCAACTTGTACGTTATTAACACCTTTGAAAGGAAGCAAGTGGCGGCCTCTTTATTTGAGTAGCTTGTGTATCCCCAACAATAATGTCTACTTAGCAAATGACATCCCTTCGGAAAAGTCCCGTGGGGAGGTTTGTTTATTTTATCCTTTTCAAGCGATATCTTGGTTAAAGAAGAAATGTGCTACCGTTCTTGGTAAAATTCAGAAATCAGAGATGTTTATCTCCAGCCACAGTGCTGATGTCAATCATTTTGTTTTCTAGCCACAGTGCTGATGTCAATCATTTTGTTTTCCAGCCGCAGTGCTGATGTCAATCATTTTGTTTTCCAGCCACAGTGCTGATGTCAATCATTTTCCAGCCTCAGTACTGATGTCCATCATTTCCTTTTCCGGTCACAGTACTGATGTAAATCATTACCTTTTCCAGTCACAGTATTGATGTAAATCATTACCTTTTCCAGTCTCAATACTGATGTAAATCATTCAAGAGTCTCTCATTTGAAGTCTATGACTTTGTTTCCCCAGTGGTGTTGTAATCTGTTCCCCTGTAGGATTACTATAATATGCTTGGTTTCTCCAGCATAGTTTGTCTCATATGGCGTCATTCCCCATAAAATTCAAAACATCACATTCATATCATATCGTAAACATAATTGTGGTATCTTAAGGCCAAAAATTGTGTATTCTATATTTAAGTCCCTTCAATCTCTTCGAAATGAAGATCTCAATCTTCATATCTCCAGATAGAAGAAACTTAAATAAGGGCAGCTGTTGTACCCCAATTTTTGACCTAAGATCCCATTTTTATTTTTTGCATTTTTTAAGATAAGTCAAGGTCACGAAATACGGTTGGTTTTAACCTCTCACCTTCGAGCTCTGACTATGCGAAGATTGTCAAGTGTTTTGAACATTTTTAGCATATGTATCACTAATTTCTAACCGCATACAAAGGTGTATGTTCATGTTTTCTTTTGTGTCATGTGCAGAGACAGGTCTAAATCAAGAGCATCAGGTGTCACGCCTCAATTAAGGTTTTGAGTCTCCCAAGCCAGAAGTACGGTTGATTGTGGATTCTCGAAGACTGATTCATCAAGGCACACCGTTGCACCCTAAATTTCGCCCATACTATGTTTTAGTCGCACTTTCATATCATATTTTGTTATTTAGTCACAATCATTAGTAAATATCTTCATTCATCACATTTTGCATCATTAGTCGTATTTAAGTTGACCAGAAAAAGTCAGTTTAAATCAAAGTTTGCATCGTCTTTCAGTTGTAAAATACCCGACATTTCATTTCATTCATTTTTATCTGTTTACTATTTTCTTGCACTGCTCCAAATTGTTTATATGTCGATAATAAAATATTTCGGTTTTATAGACAGACTATTAAAAGCGATTCGACACTATGCGAGAAAGTAGCGAGAAAATATTTCAAGTTTTCACCTTTTACCGATCATTTTATGAATCTGCGCTTCGCGTAGATTATGACGGTATGCTCGCTTTATTTTTTCGGTACAGTTCGAAGTCTCGTTTTTAACCTTAAACGTCTGTTTAGTCTGATATTTTTATTATTATTTTATTTTTGATTTTTTGACTTCTTGAATATTTTTTCTATAATCTTTGTGACATGTAGATTATTTTAATGTGTTCATTTTATTTTTTCGGATAAATTTTCGTCCATTTTTTATCATTTTCGGTCATTTTGGGTCTTTATTTTTTTATTTAAAAAAATTCAAAAAATTATTTTAAATTGATTTATTTTTTATAGTGTCAGGTTTTTATTTTATTTTGGTCATTCAGGGACTTTTTGGTCACAAAAAATATTAATTAGACTTTGCTTAATTCTTATTGGTTGATGGCATGAGTTACGGATAGATGCAGATCTAACAATTTTGGACGGATTGGATTTAATCTGTAATCATAATATTTCTATTCTTTTTCTATTTAAAGGCTTCATTATTTTCATTGTTCAAAGAGGGAAACAACAACAAAAAGCAATACAATAATACTCCCTCTCTCTCCACGCATAACCCTCTATTCCCCTTTTCTACTTACAGTAACCAAATTCCCTTTCATCTTTCTCACATACCCACCTCATTGTTTCACCAACATAACCCATAAATCTTCCTCCATTCAATTACCCTTTTACTTCTATGCAAAAACACCCCTCACCGAACCCCATCATCTGTGGCGTCCTCTTTCATGTCATCATGTGCTTCATCTTCAGCAATACAAATTGCTTCACATTCACAATCTGCTTCACGAAACCACTCTTTTGCTAGTACCCCTTTCATGCCCCCATCTCTAAGGTCCTACCGCCAATCCCCTTCTATTAGCGTCAGCCGTAGCTCTGTAGATCTTCGGAATGCATCCCAAAGATCTCTAGCTTCGCATATGAATTCACCGCGTTCCAATGGTTACCCATCTTTGTCGTCTCTTAACTCAAGATACCTGTCTTCACATGTTCCAAGTCCAAGCAACGGTTCAGTAAGTTACCTTGGTTCATCCAGTCATCAGCAGCATCCACTCTGTTATAGTGAGTCAGCCGCCAGCTTCTCACCATTTGTGTCTGCCAGCTCCCTCCCGGACTGTTAATTTGAATTAATCATATGAGAGATATCTGTGCAGTTGAACCGTGATTACCTAGTCACTGAACGTAAAAGTGGGCACATGATGATGACTGTCAGTCTATTTCCATATAAACGCTTCGGCATTCCCTACCTCTAATCTCCAAGGTGAAATCTGCAACAATGGCCGAATCTACAAGCTCCTCGCCTCCTCTCTCCCTCAACATCTACTCCGCTTCTTGTTTTTTCGACCAAACCGGTTACACAAATTCGTCATAATCCGGCAATGTCTATCAACACCGAATCTTCTCCGCCGCCGCCGGTCATCGGCAAAATTGGACCGTACACTGTTTTCATAACGCCGCCTTCAACTCATAAACCCTCTTCTTCTGAACCAGTTACTGCTACTACTCTTCATTCACCAAACATCAACAATGGTAACAATCATGCTAAGATCCTTACTCCTCCACCTCAGATTCATAACCCTTTACCGTCTTCCAAAACCCTCTCTTATGATTCCTCGTCTTTTCTCGGATTTTTCAAGAACGCTGTTAACAAGGTTCAAACTGCTCATTCAAGTTTGGATGAGCATTTGGATCGTTGATTTGGGATCTTTCTTCCATGGGGCAACCAGTTGAAGGTGGGCTTGATCCGATTTTGGCTTACACCGCTGGTGTGGAAATTGAACAGCTTCAGTGGTCTTCTTCGCAGCCTGATTGGGTTGCTATTGCTTTCTCCTCTAAGGTTCAGATTCTTAGGGTGTGAAAAAAGTGATAAGTTGCCCTGGTGAGTCTTCAATGCAAAGGTGGAGGTTTGGTTTTTATTTAATTTTTAAATTGTATTAGTATTTTGGTTCTATGTTGTTATAAGGTTAACTTTTCATTGGGTTTAGAACTAAGATACATTGGGAGTGATATGTTTGTTTCGTTTTTGGTTAAATTGGTTTTGTTTATAATTATTGAATTTGAGATGTTAGTTTTAGGATGCTAATTTAATTGATAACAAGATGATGATTATTGATTGTAATTGGAACTTTGATTATGAAATAGAAACTTTGGTGATTTTTTTTAAATTAAAATGAATAACATGTTATAGCCTTAGTAGAAAGAGCTTGGTAAACACAAGTGACAGTAGCAATGTTGTGGCCAACTTCCTCTGTTAACCTCTTTCAATTTCAAATAGCAACAACACTTTTTTTAGACTCATTTTCCTTTCTAATTAATATTTTTGAATTGAAATTAATGTGATGTGTTTCTTTTAGTTGAATTGTAGATTTTTTGAAACAATTGTGTTAAAATGGGTATTGTTGATATTTTTTTAATTTTTTTGTTGTCAATTTTGGAGAATTTAAATTTAGTTTTAACAATTAATTTGTTTCTCATTAGTTTAGATTTTTTTTCCAATTGGAATTATGGAGTTTAATGCATAGATATAGTTGTTGTCCAAAATTTGGTTTAATTGAATAATTCTTGAATTGGAATCAATTTTCTATGTTCGATTTTGAATTGAATAATTTCATAAATTCTTGATTTTGATTTGTGTAAATATTCATTTATTCACGTGTATTCATACAATTTCATTTTTGATTTTATACTCACTAACACATATTTTAATTGCTGCAATTTCGTTTTACTTTAATTTTTATACCGCTTATGCTACTAACGCGTTTGTTACTGTGAAGGGTTCCAAAAAAATCGTTTCAAGTGTTCATTCCCGCATAGCACATCCATAATTCCTACACTTCTCACTTCTACCTCTTTATCGTATTTCACTATTTTGATTTAATATTTGGTACTGTAAATATATACTTGTACATAATATTTTTTTTACTGTATATTTTACTCATTTCATTGGTAAATAAATTCCGTCTATGTAGATATTATTTTCATTGCATTGTGATTTTATTTTTAATTCCAACTAACTTCTGAAAATTGTGCGGACGCACATATGTTTCCCATGTTGTTAGATTTTGTCGGTATATCTCTTGTGATGTAGGGATTCTTATCTGACACCGTGAGCTTTATCCACCGCCTTTGCGCTTCATCTGATGCTTGGAGTATTATCTCACATTAGGTTTTTTGATGATGCTGTCGGCTTGTGATTTATTTTCACCTAAGGTTTGATATACTCTTAGCTTATTTATCCGTCTGTGGTTTTAACTCCAAGGGAAAGATTTAAATTTGTTGACTTCATGTCATCAAATACGTCTTTTACAATTGTGCGAATAGCCTCATTCATTTTTTTTGCTTGTTTACTATTTTTCCAAACTTAAGATAATTTTCCCAAAAGACTCCATTTTCAAACTCACACCTTTTAAGTCAAAACTTCGACATTAGGTCGCTGTCTCTTCAAAATCTCTCCAACACCGATTTTTAGCCAAACGAACCATTTTAATCAAACAAACAATTAAAACCAAAAACAGATATTTCAAAAGGTTCCTGCGGAGTACTGCAGATGCATTGGGTGCTAATACCTTCCCATTGTATAACCAACCCCCGAACTCTCGATCTCTTTTAAAACGCATTGTATTTTCATTACTTTTAAATATTACTTTACATTGCATATTTTAGGGTTTTATTTCGCTCTTTTCCCTTTTCCCTTGGAAATAATAAAGTGCGGTGGCGACTCTTGCTTTTGTGAGTCAAGTTAATTAATAGCTTGATATCCGATTTTCACCGCTACATGCCCCTTTGAAGTCCAAAACCCTAGCTTCTAGATCAAGAGAAAGCTTTGTGGAACTTTGCCAAGTTTAAACAAACTTTTTGTGCCAATATTCTTCCTTTGTGAATACAAGTTGTTAAGGATGATGATGAGGGATCATAGCCACCAAAAATACTTCCATACAAACTTAAAAACAACTTCATTAGTGAGGTTTGAACCTATCAAGCTTTGACTAGGGCTTGGAAATAAACTCATGAACCCATGAAGCAACTTGCTAAACTTCATTGTCTTTACCTACATTATTAACAAGTAAGACAAACCAATATTGTATTTTATTAATTAGAGAGAAAATCAAAGCAAAATATCCATGATCACAAAAGAAAACAAGTCAAGGTGCTTGGTAAATCCACAAAGAGCAAGTTAAAAATAAGGAGAAGAACCAAAAGCTCTAATATGATCTTGTGGTGATGAAAACAAAATGGTATGATGAAGGGATCTTAGGGGAAAAACTTGGGGTACAACACCAATAACTCTATTATTGTCGACTATGACTTTGAACATCCAATTAACCAAGAGGAAGACAAAGGCGAGGAATATTATGAAATATCGGGAGAACTAACCAGACTTCTATTACAAGAGGAAAAATCTATTCATCCGCACGAAGAGTCAGTTTAAGTCATCAATCTGGGTACCGAGACAGACAAGAAATAGGTCAAGATCGGCGCTATCCTGGAAAGCAGTGTCAAAAGCAGGTTGGTTCAGATGTTACATGGCTATGTGGAAGTGTTTTCTTGGTCCTATGAAAATATGCCGGGGTTGGATACCGACATCATAGTTCATCATCTGCCGACAAAGGAAAATTGTCCTTCTGTCAAACAAAAAGTACATCGCATGAGGCCTGACATGTCTGAAAAGATAAAAGCTGAATTGATGAAACAATTTGATGCACGATTCTTAGTTGTGACATCTTATTTCCAATGGGTTGAAAATGTAGTACCAATGGCAAAGAAAGACGGAAAAGTTCATATGTGCGTGGATTATAGGGACGTGAATAGGGAAATCCCCAAGGATGATTTCCCTCTACCTCACATTGATGTCTTGGTCGATAACACAACTCAGCATAAGGTCTTCTCTTTCATGGATGGTTTCTCTAACTATAATCAAATTAGGATGGCTCCCTAAGACATGGAGAAGACCACTTTCGTCACGCAATGGGGAACATTTTACTACAAGGTCATGCCGTTCGGATTGAAGAATGCAGGGGAAAAATATCAAAGGGAAATGGTAGCTTTGTTTCATGACATGGTTCATCATGAAATAGAGGTATATGTGGATGATATGATTTCTAGGTCACAAACTGAAGAGGAGCATCTCGATCACCTATACAAACTATTCGAAAGGTTGAAAAAGTACAAGTTGAGGTTAAACCCTAACAAGTGCACATTTGGAGTACGATCTGGAGAGCTTCTAGGTTTTGTCGTCAGCGGTAAAGGTATCGAAGTCGATCCTGCCAAGTTAGAGGCCATCCAAGAAATGCCAGTCCCTCATTATCAAAATGAAATTAGAGGATTCTTGGGTTGTCTTAACTATATCGCCTGCTTCATATCTCACTTGACTTCTACTTGTGAGCCAATCTTCAAACTCTTGAAGAAAGATCAAGTAGTCAGATAGAGTGATGAATGCCAAGCTGGCTTTGACAAAATCAAAGAATATCTGCAAGAACCTCCTATCCTCATGCCTCCAGTTGAAGGAAGACCCTTGATCATGTACTTCATAGTGATAGAGAACTCTATGGGATGTGTTTTGGGACAACATGATGAGTCGTGCCGAAAAGAACATGCTATTTACTACCTGAGCAAAAATTTTACCAACTGTGAAACCAGATATTCATTACTCGAGAAAACTTGTTGCGCTCTGGCATGGGCTGCTCGACGACTAAGACAGTATATGTTGACTAATACCACTCTGTTGATTTCTAAGATGGACCCAATCAAGTACATCTTCGAGAAACCCGCTCTTTCCGGACGGGTAGCAAGATGGAAAATGATCTTGATTGAGTACGACATTCAATACACAACACAAAAGGCCATCAAAGGAAGCGTACTACCAGGTCATTTGGCCCATCAATCTATTGATGATTATCAGTCTATGAACTTTGACTTCCCAGATGAGAACATCATGCTAGTGACTGACTGTGCGAAACCTGGACCGTATGACGGACCTGAACAAAGATTTTGATGGACTATGGTTTTTGATGGGGCTTCCAACGCTTTGGGTAACATAATTGGTGTTGTGATCATATCCCCTGAAGGTTTCCACACTCCTTTCACTGCCAGACTATGTTTTGATTGTACGAACAATATGGCT